CGAATGGCTGTAAGAAGAGTTAACTACAGTTAGAGAATATGATTTTAGGGCCATCGTTGTCTCAAGATATTTTCGGCGTCGATCTTCTCAGATGTCCAGCTCTTATTCTATCTGCAATCGTCATCTCATTTATCGTTATTTCCTTGCAATACAGATCACAACATCATTTTTACACAAATCTACCTGTATCGGTCATGTCCCGCTTGCACATCCTTAGGTCACAGCAGAGGTCGACCTCGACAGTTGAAGCTCATGCACCATAAAGAATGTCAGAATATCATTAGGAGACACTACCGTTCACCCTTGCCCCCTTAATCCAAGCTACGAGATGGTTAATGAAGCATCTCTGTCTGTATGTCTGTCTCCACACACATGCAGAGAGAGAGAGAGAGAGAGAGAGAGAGAGAGAGAGAGAGAGAGAGGGAGGGAGGGGGGGGAGGGAGAGATTAGGAATATAGCCAGAATAACATAGCAGGACAAAGATATAATCAGACCCCAATCAGCACATTTTGTATTGGAACGTAGGGGAAAGCCCTGAATACTGTGATCACGTGGGTTTCATAATCGTATGCAACTCAATAAATAAATGTTGTTGAATGTTGAAATAAGAATCAACATCGCAGCACATGGGACACTCCCATTAGCTCTCCTTCACCATCTTCAGCAGCAAGCGAAGAGTTCCTATTGCTATGGCCCCAGAAACTGTCCGATTTTGTCTCTGTCTCGCCTTTCTGATGAGTATTGAGCATCGACCAGATCCTCTGGTAACTCCTCGCAGCGCAGTTCTCCTCAGACCGTAATGATCTGTCTGTGCCTGTGCACTGTTCACTTGCTCTAAAAGGGCCCTCACGATTTCTAGTTTGTCACACATCAATTCACCACCAAGTGGTGCAGTCTATCTGCCTGCTCGTTTCTCAACATACCGGCATGACCTGGAGACTGCTAACTACCCGTGACCTCTAAAGCGATGCTTGCCACCCACTCTGCACGAAGCATACCTGTCTCCACCTTTCTCAACGTGCTCTGTAAGTCAGTTACAATTATGACACGTGTGTCCGTTTGATTTCCAGGCCAGCGGAAGGTATGCAGTGACGGCTGCAACTCATTTAAAAATCAGCCAGCTCTGATTGAATGTTGTGTTCTTTAAATATTTTCATGCAGACGTGTGAAGGTAGTCGAAGAAACAGAAATAAATATATGAAACAAAACTGTTTGAGATTATATCAATCATACCTTGATGATCGGTGAGATGATTACGAGAAATTCATGTTCTGCCTCGAGATTACTTTGAGAATCATAGCTGCAGGGAGAAACGGATGTAATGTCCGTACAGCACAGCATCACGAAATGTTGCCAACTTTTTAAGTAATTTGTTTCTATTCTCAATAATACGAGAACGTATATATATATATATATATATATATATATATATATATATATATATATATATATATATATATATATATATATATAAATTTAAAAACCATACCTCGAGAATTATACGATCTATATACATAGATTAATGAGTTAATAGCGACTTAATGTCAGCAGGTTTGTATGCTATATGAGAAATAATAATAGTTGGTTATTTATATAAGAAAGATACAGTTATATAAAAAGAACCAGAGACAACGAAAACACCCACTCACAGACACACACAAGCAGATTTACAAACATTAGGAGTTTTTCTTCTTCTTCTCTTCCACTTTTTACCTCATCGAGGTGGGGTGGGGGCGGGGGGGGGGGGGTTGTGTAAGTGTCGTGTGTGCGCTTTTTCAAATGCATTGTACAAGTTGGTGTTCTTTTCTGTAAGGTTACTTCAGATGATGTCGCTCCATATCTGGCGTGTTTCTTCAGCGTGACTCTCTGTGGCAGTTGGTACCTGGGCATTCTCGTAAGGTGGCCAAACCATCTCATTTGTTGCACAATAGTTAATTGTATGACTTGTTTCAGTTCTAGTCTTCTTCTAATTTCTTCATTCTTGATTTTATCTCTTTTTGTCACATCGGCAGCTCTCCTAAGACATGTCATTTATGATGTTGCTATCTTCACCTTATTAGTTGTATTAAGGTTCCATGTTTGGCACTGGTACCACAATGTTGGCCAAAAAACTATTCTTATCAGATGTGCTTTGGTTGACAGAGGTGTCTTACTATGCATTAGAAGCGGTGATAACCGACCCATAACCTGATTTGCTTTCGCACATCGTATGTTTATTTATATATCCATTCTCCCATCTGAGGTAAAAAAAATTGACCCTAGATATTTAAATTCGCTCTTTTGTTTTATTTCTGTGTTATTTACTTTAATTGATATGGTTTCTTCTTGTCTGCCTGTTGCCATTGCCTTTGTCTTATCAATGCTAATCCTCATGTTATATTTCTCAGATTTAGTACTGACTTGGTTTATATGATTATGTAAACTCTCGTCTGTTTCAGCTAATAATACTTGGTCATCTGTAAATAACCGTTCTGAAATTGCATCCTTTTCTTTGCTCTCTACTTCTTTGCATATACTGTCGATGTATGTTATAAAAAGAAGGCGAGATAGCACACATTCCTGTCTTACTCCTGAATTTACTTCAAAAGTTTAAAATGTACCTGCTTTTGTTAGTGTGCAATTTTTACGTGATGTATATTAAGTTCTTACACACTTGAATTAGATGTTTGAGTCTGAAAAAAGGAAGAAAAACTGCTGATTCCATATCTTCTTAAGCAATTCCACAACATATTCCTATTCACTCTGTCAAATGCTTGCTCCTGGTTTATAAATGCCACTTTGCACCTCTTATCATACTCTATTGCACTTTCTGTCAACTGTTTTAATGTAAATATGGCGTCTGTGCGGCTTCTGTTACGTCTAAAACCACGACCGGCTCCAGCTGGAGCCGGTCGTGCTAAAACCCACCTGGGCTTCTGAAAGTTGTTCTTCTACAAATAGTCTTGATTTTCTCTCAGTTAATTTAGCATACATATTTCCTGTGTGGTTTAACAGTGATATACATCAGTAATTAGTGCACTCTTTCTTACTCCCTTTATTTTTCCATATCGGTATAAATATTGCTGTTTGCCAGTTATCTGGTGTTTCTTGTTCTAGCCAGGCAGTCTGGAAAATTCACCTTGCCCATTTTGCTCCTGTTTCTCAGCTGCTTTGATGACGTTTGCAGGGAGATCTTCAATACCAGTCGCTTTGTGCCTTGGTGCTATCTTTATTACATTTTCTACTTTTGTCATTATAATTGTTAACTCTAGTGTATTCGTCTATTCCGCTGTGTTTGTTATAGTATTATTGTTTGCAATGTCATATTTATTCTTCAAATTTAGAGATTCTTTAGAATAGTTACTCCATCTCGCAAGAATAATTTTTCTGACTAAAATATGCTGTCCTTTTTCATCATCTAGTATTTCTGTTAAATTTATATTCCTCATTGTTTTGTCTTATCCATCTTACTCTCTTGTAGTAGTTACTTATTAGCTGCTTTTTCTTCTGATGACAACATTTCTTCAGACTTCTTCCATGAACCTTTCTTGGCTGTTTTTATTGTGTTATTGGCTTCTTTTCTGGCCTGCCCATACCTTGTGTAGTTTTCTTCTGTTCTGTGTTTTAATCAGAAATTGTGAGGTTTCTTTTTGTTTTTCACCATTTCGTTTATTTATTCATTCCAGCATGTTGATATTTTATATCCTATCTTCCCTTTCTTTTTAGTTCCGCACATTTGTTGTGCTATATTCTTGAGTATCTCTAAAATTAATCCATTCCCCCTTCACCCCAAATGTACTTTCTGGAGATGCTTCATAATTATGGTGTAATATTCCTTGAAAAGTTTTTCTCATTTCTGTGTTGTCTAATCTTTCCATTTTTTAATTTCAATATTACATTTCTTCTTCTAGCGTGCGGCGTGACCTTGACTTGTGTATCTGCGGTCACCATCTTATGATCAGTGTCAGTGCTGATATTAGGTATGGCTCTAACATCAGTAAGCTCACAGAAATATCTTTTTCTTATCATGATACAATCAGTTTGGCTTTTTATTTCTGGCTTCTTCAATCTATACCAAGTAAACACACAAAAGTCTCTACGCTGAAAAAAAAAAAAGCATTGGTAATTACAAGGTCATGCTGTGCACGTATTTCTAGTAGTCTTTCTCTATTTCCGTTTATCTCGATGTTGTTATCTCCACAGTTTCATAGAAATCTTGAGAATGCTCTCCTGTTGTTTCCTACTTTGCCATTTAAGTCTTCCATTATAAAAAGTTTACCTGTTGTCTCAATTAAAAAAAAAAAAATTACACCGCTCAGTTCATACAAATATTTTTATAATCTTTTTTTTTCCATTGCAGCGTGCGTAAACCTGAATATAGGTTTCTGTTCTTTTGTCTTTTTTTATTTTGATACAAATAGTTGTTTCTGATACTTGACTGATGTCTACAATGTTACTTGCAATCTTAGGGTCAGTGATGAAACCTACTGCATGTTCTGCATGTTAAGTCTTGTCTATACCAAAGTATACCAATACAAAATATTTGTGTTACCTTAATGTATCTTTTCCCTTCAGTCTTAACTCTGCAAAACCTAAAAGTCTTCATTTTGTGTTTTTCCATCAGTTGTATAGCTTCCTCTGCTTTGTTGACCCAGCTACATATTTAACGTTCCTACTCTATACCGGTCTTGTTTGTTGAACTTAGTTCGCATGCTTTCACATCTGCTAATTTTGTCCCGTTTCAGCTCAAAATATTCATGGGATGTACCCCTTTCAGCTCAAAATATTACTGGAATGTCCTTCTTTCAGCTCAAAATATTACTGGGATGTCCCCTTTCCAGCTGAAAATATTATTGGGATGTTCTCAACCCCCCCCCCCCCTTCCACTATTTCCAGCTCAAAACATTAGGATGTCCGGTCTTAAGCTCAAAAGAGTATTGGGATGTCCCGTTTTCAGCTCAAAATATTATGGCCATCTTACTTCCAGAGCTGTGCGTTTACTTGAACAATGTCATCCGCAGAACTGTGATGAAAACCACCACGACATTGGGCAACACCTGATGGTCAACGCTGAGACCTCATTTGGCTATGTCTCCCGGTTTATCTATGCCGTGCTGCACCACTACAAGTGGCGATCCTTCTGGTTGGTGTCTGGCAACACTATCAAGTGGCAGAATGTGGCAAATCGTCTGCGAGATGATGCTGAGCTGATGAATGTCAGGTAAATGTTTTTTTTTTTTTTTTTTACTTGTTACTTTTTTAACTATAACCCACAGAGACATAGAAATAATGGAAAACTCAGCTAGATAATGAGGCTAAAAAGATGAGGACACGGGAAAAGGTGCAAGCAATAGCGAAAGAAAGAAAGAATGAATTGGCCTGAGCTGGTTGAATGCCTATGCCCCATTGTGGGAGATAGAAGGCAAGAAACAAAAGCAACAAACAACAGTATCGTGGAACGAACAAGTAAAAGCTGCGGTTAAGGAGAAATAAAATTGTATTTCTTCTTCTTCTTTGCGTTCGGTTTCGTATGCTTAGATCAGACCATCAGGTTGGTTGGCTCTATGAACTCGAATTGTGTTTCAAAAGTGGTCAAAAACGTAAAAAATGGAATTTTATACTGCAAACCAACATGCTAGAAGAGACACAATGAGATAATTTAAAAAAAAAAAAAAAAACATGGACTTTATATTGAAATATTTTAAATGAACTGTTAACAAGCTCCCATGTGTTATTCTTTAAAAGGATTAAGTCAATGCGTTTGAGAGATGAGTGCTTCAACCCCTCGACATCAATAAAAAAAAACAACAGAAAAAGCTTTATACAGTGGGCGCGAAATAAAAACACAATGGAAAACATACTTACTTACTTACTTAGTCGCTCCTCTTCTACATTAGGGTGTAGAGGTTTGCCAGAGAGATCGCCAGATGTCTCTATCAGCAGTTTTCTCTCTAGCTTTGTTCCATTCCAGTCCTCTGTCAGTTAGGGACTGTCGGATGTTGTCTTCCCAGCGCACCCTGGGTCGTCCTGGAGGTCTGGTTCCCTGGTTCTTAGCCTCCCATGCCTGCCATGGTGGCCGATTTTCTCCCATTCTGCATACATGTCCAAACCATCGTAACTGTGACTAATCCACTCGGGTTTGTAAGGACTGGGTATCAAGATCTTGACGTATTGTCTGATTGCGGACTTGGTCCCTTCTTGTCACTTGGACAACCTTTCTCATTTCCGAGGCCTGCAGCTTGCTTCTGTGAGCTGTTGTCATTGCCCATGACTCACACCCATAGGTCAGGACTGGTACATAGGTAGAGCGGTAAAACAATAGAAAACATACAATAAAGAACTGATTCTCCCCACCCCCCCCCCCCCCAGTTAACCCCACCCCTACCCACAATGCCCAGTATTTACTACGGCCTATAAGGAAAACGTAGAACCAATACCTAAGTCTGTCGTAGCGCTCGAAACTGCGACCCTGGTTGCGTGGTACGGCTGCTGGCAAGGTTTTTGTCTGCTGACTCGACCCAGGCATTACAACAGATGTTCTCAAACTGGATGCGTATGCCAGGGGTGCCGAGGCGAAAATCAAGAAAAGTCGGCTATAAATTGTGACATTAATAAAGAAGGCATGAAGATACTTAAAAGTTAAAATTTAACTTGTCTTTCCACGCCTCTGTCGAAAAGTGTTTTTCTTCCTTTTTTTCACACTCAAAGTGTATAATATTGCATAAATTGCCAACCGCAGCGTCCTAAAATTGTTTTTGTATTTATCTCGAGGTGCGACCAATCCTCCATCCGTATTCGTGAAGGTGCAGCGGATAAGTAAGGTTGCGATTACATTTTGGCTGAAATTTTAAAGTGGAAAATGTGGTCTGAACAATAGTCACTGTTAGCCTCGTCAAGTTAACACTTATATTTAACGGCAAGGCGTTCTTTTTTGTTGTTGTTTCTGTTGCTTGTGTGTGTGTGTGTGTGTGTGTGTGTGTGTGACAGACAGACAGACAGACAGACAGACAGACAGACAGACAGACAGACAGACAGACAGACAGACAGACAGACAGACAGACAGACAGACAGACAGACAGACAGACAGACAGACAGACAGACAGACAGACAGACAGACAGACAGACAGACAGACAGACAGACAGACAGACAGATAGATAGATAGATAGATAGATAGATAGATAGATAGATAGATAGATAGATAGATAGATAGATAGATAGATAGATAGATAGATAGATAGATAGATAGATAGATAGATAGATAGATAGATAGATAGATAGATAGATAGATAGATAGATAGATAGATAGATAGATAGATAGATAGATAGATAGATAGATAGATAGATAGATAGATAGATAGATAGATAGATAGATAGATAGATAGATAGATAGATAGATAGATAGATAGATAGATAGATAGATAGATAGATATACAGACAGACAGACAGACAGACAGACAGACAGACAGACAGACAGATAGATAGATAGATAGATAGATAGATAGATAGATAGATAGATAGATAGATAGATAGATAGATAGATAGATAGATAGATAGATAGATAGATAGATAGATAGATAGATAGATAGATAGATAGATAGATAGATAGATAGATAGATAGATAGATAGATAGATAGATAGATAGATAGATAGATAGATAGATAGATAGATAGATTAGATAGATAGATAGATTAGATAGATAGATAGATAGATAGATAGATAGATAGATAGATAGATAGATAGATAGATAGATAGATAGATAGATAGATAGATAGATAGATAGATAGATAGATAGATAGATAGATAGATAGATAGATAGATAGATAGATAGATAGATAGATAGATAGATAGATAGATAGATAGATAGATAGATAGATAGATAGATAGATAGATAGATAGATAGATAGATAGATAGATAGATAGATAGATAGATAGATAGATAGATAGATAGATAGATAGATAGATAGATAGATAGATAGATAGATAGATAGATAGATAGATAGATAGATAGATAGATAGATAGATAGATAGATAGATAGATAGATAGATAGATAGATAGATAGATAGATAGATAGATAGATAGATAGATAGATATATAGATAGATAGATAGATAGAGAAAGAAAGAAAGAAAGAAGGAAAGAAAGAAAGAGAGAGAGAGAGAGAGAGAGAGAGAGAGAGAGAGAGAGAGAGAGAGAGAGAGAGAGAGAGAGAGAGAAAGAGAGAGAGAGAGAGAGGGAGAGAGAGATCATGCATTTTTCGTTCTTACAGGGTGTCTTCGCCCAAATCAGATTTAAAGATATTGCTAACGAGAATATTAGGGTGCGTTTAAATCACATCAAACGAACGGCCGAGCGAACGATGGTTTTGTAAGAGGCAAGAGCCCGAAAACAACTAATCACAGACATTAGAAATAGACAGTCGTCATTTTCGGCCATGTTATGAAAAGAGGGAAAATAGAACAAGTGGTGACCACTGGAAAGATCTGTGGAAGGAGGGGCAGAGGAAGACAACGAGAGAAGATGCTTGACAGTCTTGTTGCATGGCATGGAGGTGTGTCGGCACACGAACTGATACATGCTGGGGAAGATCGCAGATTGTGGAGAGGCATGATCGCCCACGTTAATTTGTGTAGGTTTTTAACTCAAAAATTTGTCCGGGCAGCACCGTTAGACTACTCTTTTTGATTTGCGACTGCCAAGGGATTTTTTTTTCTGAAACGTTTACAACAATGCACACGGGCGTCCGATCTCACTACCCAGAGACCAGGGGTAATTACTAGAAGTCCATGTCCACGTTAAAAAAATCTCAGCCCTTACCGAGGATTGAACGCGGAACCTCTAGCACTCGAGGCAGACACCATGCCTCGAAACCAGGCAGCTCCCTGATTACATGTGAAATGACGTATGCATAAATAACTTCATATAAGGGATGAATTCAAAACGAAACAATGTTAGACAGGCCTGCGTGCCCAGTCCTTAATCCTTTGAATAAATAAAGTTCGTTTCTTCATTTGTTCTGTGTGCGTTTTTACGCACACAGAACTATCTATCTATCTATCTATCTATCTATCTATCTATCTATCTATCTATCTATCTATCTATCTATCTATCTTCTTTTATCAGCATAAATGGAGAGACAGACACTGATTCCAACGACATGTACTCAAACTTCGTGGAAACATCTCATGACTACAGAGACACGCTGCAAGTCTCAAGATACCGCACTCGAGGTAAACATCTCTCCCTGTTATTCGTGTGTGTCACATACTCATAAATGGCAATAACATTGTATAGACCTACTTGGGGTTTGTTGCGTATCCTTTACAGGACGACGCAGAACCAACCCTAACAGCCACGGGCTGTTGTGTGGTTTTTCTAGGCCAATTTACGTCCAGTAGTTTGCCATTGCCTACTGGACGGTCGGCGATCTTGATACCACTGTCGAAACCAACGCAAGGCGCATGGCCCGCAGCTGGGATCGAACCCGGCATCCCGGCATAACGAAGCGTTCGCATGGACTTAGCCACAGAGCTGACATAGACTTACTACATTAGTGTTTTTCAGTCTTATTCGCGGTTTAAATCTACTACTTGATGGTTTTCACTCTCGACAGTATATGCAATGATGTCATACACGGAAACGAAAATGTTAATAAGATCAACGAATTACTGTTTTCTGATGACCAGAAGAGTATTTCCCCACAAAAACTGATTGAAAATGTCCCTGTTGTCAGCCTCGAATTGTGTCTATCTATTCTTTAACAAAAACACAATTGTCTTGAAAATCGATCTAGAAAAATATTGCAAGTTCATTTTAATCACATACTGACCACTGTACCTATTATTGCTTTATCATTATGACAGCTTTTTACTAGTCCTGGTGACTTAAATATAAGTCCATGCCGTGTGGCATTGGTAATAATGTCTTTCTGTCTCGTGTTCTTTCAATCAGTTCTGGTAAATATGATAGTCCATGCCATGATGTTAAACTGTTCAGCATCTTTTCTCTCGGTCTCCCTGTGCTTCTCCTCCCCTCCAACCTTTCTGCTGTCACGATGTACTCCAGTTTTCTCCTTCTCATCACATGATCAAAGATTGTAGATTGTCTCTTTCTGATGTGGGCAATCAGTTCTCTTCGTAAGTCAGTTTCTTTTGAGACATCTTCTTTCAACCGTAATGCAGCGAAAGAAGTGTGGCTAAAAAATAAGTGCAAAGAAATTAAAGAACAAACAAGGCATGTATTCAAGAATACAAGAACTAACAGTTTTTAGAAAATATACAGCAAGTATTTGCTTGGGAAACAAACAAGTGAAATATTAATGGACAAAGAGAGAAGCTAACTGAAAGATGAACAGAGTATATAAAAGAGCAATACGATGATAACAGCTGACTAGACATAGAGAGTCATGAGAATTGGGAAGGACCGCCAGTTCTGATAGCGGAAGTGGAACTATACCGTAGACCAACATGAATACATGAATACAATTTTGAAAAGAAATGTACCTTTTGGATGGCAAAAAATAACTATTATTTGTAAGTGGAGTTGCCAGCACTCGTTTTTGTTTTCCCAAAGAGGTGATCCAGTATTGTTTGTTTTGATCATTTTTTTAAAAACTTTCTCGAAAGTGTCCAAACACATTGTCATCTAATACATTGATACACTGATTACCTATAGCAATATTTGAGTGTTATTTCTCAGTGAAAGGCTGCAGTATTGCCCACGTAGACAGCCATTCCTTGAAATCACCATTTGGAACTGGCCCGCTGTCTTATTTTTCCGTGTCTGCTGACTCGCTGGCCTTGTCGCAGGAGGAACGAATATTGACTTTTCCGGCGAATGTCAACCAAAAATTTCAACTAGAATACAGGACAAATAAAAAAATAAAAAAAGAAACACATACACAACAAAAACAACAATAACAACAACATGGATAGAACATAAAAAAGACAGGCCAAAACCGCATTTAATGAAATGAAAAACATTTATGCAATAAATCTATGGCTTTGGAGCCTAGAAAAAGAATGCTCGAATGCTATACAGAGCCACTTTAAATATATGGTTGGGAATCTTGGACAATTAATAAACACGCTGAACAATTTTTTGAAACCTCGGAGATGTGGTTTTACAGAAGAATCCTTACAATTCAGCTAAAGGGAGCAATCTGGAAGTTTTGAAAGAGGGGATGGGTCGAAGACTATTTATCACAAACATCAGAAAGAGACAGTCATTATTTCTTTCTTATGTTATGAGAAGAGTGAAACTGGAACATGGTGTGACCAATAGAAAGATTTGTGGAAAGAGAGCAGAGGAAGACAGCGCGAGTCGATTCTTGACAGCCTTGTGTCATGGCATGGAGGGGCGTCAACACACGAACTGATACACGCAGTTGCAGATTGTAGATTGTGGAGAGGCATGATCGTGCAGGCCAGATGGCAAGGCAATTGATTATATATATATATATATATATGTATACATTATATATATATATATATATATATATATATATATATATATATATATATATATATATATATATATATATATGTGTGTGTGTGTGTTGTGTGTGTGTGTGCGACGAGAGAGAGAGAGAACGAGAGAGAGAGAGAGAGAGTGAGAGAGAGAGAGAGAGAGAGAGAGAGAGAGAGAGAGAGAGAGAGAGAGAGAGGCCACATACATTATAATTTTTCTTCTGTGAGTCTTGTTTACTAAATAATTGTTATTTGTTAGTGTGTGTGTGTGTAAGTGTATGTGTAAATATTTCATTTTTCAGTCCATTTCCCTGTTTCATTATTTCCTCCAGTGTACGTGTTTCTGGGAGTTTACGAGTCGTTGCTGCTGTTTCTGAGGGAAATGAAGGAATTAGGAATGACGGACACAGGTGACTATGCCGTGGTTGCAGTGGATGACAGCAACGACATTCAGTCTGGCGAGAAAACGTATCTGAGTAAGTATATTAGGCCTATTGTGCGGGTGAAGTAATTGCGTTCTCATGTGTTTTTTTTGTTTTCTTTTTGTTTATGCATGTGTGTGTTTGTGTGTGTGTGTGTGTGTGTGTGTGTGTGTGTGTGTGTGTGTGGGTGTAGAACTGTATTCAGTATTTGTATATATTACTTACTTTACAAGTGGCGCAATATGTTCTTATTGCGTAGATTACTGACGTGTTCTTATTGAATAAGTAAATGGCATGTTCTTATTGAAGAAGTAAATGGCGTGTTCTTATTGAATAAGTAAATGGCATGTTGGTATTGAATAAGTAAATGGCATGTTCTTATTGAATAAGTAAATGGCATGTTCTTATTGAATAAGTAAATGGCATGTTCTTATTGAAGAAGTAAATGGCATGTTCTTATTGAATAAGTAAATGGCATGTTCTTATTGAAGAAGTAAATGGCATGTTCTTATTGAATAAGTAAATACCATGTTCTTATTGAAGATGTAAATAGCATGTTCATATTAAAAAAGTAAATGGCATGTTCGTATTGAATAAGTAAATGGCATGTTCCTAATGAATAAGTAAATTGCATGTTTCTTAACGAAAAAGTAAATGGCATGTTCTCATTGCATAGATATATGGAAGTTTATATTTGATTACATCAGAGAAATAATCTTATTGAAAACGAAATATTCTTTTTGAATAGATCAAAAAAGTGTGTTTACTGCATGTTCTTCTATACAGAAGTTAATATTTGATTACATCAGAGAAATAATCTTATTAAAAATGAAGTGTTCATATTGAATAGATCAATAAAATGTGTTTACTGCATAGATAAAAAAAATATTCTGGTTGGAGTAAACAGCGAAATTTTCTCCTCGAATAGATCAATGGCATATATTTTATAGCATAGATCAATGAAGTGTTGTTCTTGTAGCAGGTGCTGTGATCAGTGACATTTTGTGTGTGTGTGTGTATACATCAGTGATATGTTCCTTTTGCATAATTTATGTCCATAAACAGGGTATTCGAACCTCTTTTGAGACGCGATTCTCTCCTTCTTAGCGTTTACTGGGCAGCAGCGCCGCCAGTGATTTCTGGTTGTTCGCCCACTACTGGACTTTGGTCTTGTTCCAGAACTTGAGTTTTACGTGCACATTTGTTTTACAGATCCGGCTTTTTTGTGTGTGCATGCATATTGTTGATTCCTTGTCTCTCATACAGATGCACTGGGGCTTGGCTTTTGTCGGCGCTTCTGTCAGGAAACATTGATGAGGTTCTTCATAAGATCAAAACACCATCAACTGACTATCCCTCCAAGACAATTGTTGATTACACGTCCATTTAGAAGAAGAGGAAGAATGGGAATTAGAAACAGGTGAAGAAGAAGAAGAAGAAGAAGAGGAGGAAGAAGAAGAAGTAGTAGTGGTAGTAGAAGAAAAAGAAAAAGGAGAAGAAGAAAATAATAATAAAAAAAAAAAAAAGAAAATGCAGGAAAGAAACAAAGGGAAATATATAAAGAAGGAAGGAAGATGGTGAAGGGAGGAGGGAGGGGGAAGAAAAAAAATCGTTTTCGTCTTGTTCTTTTAAAGGCGTGGAGATTAGATATTACAAAATGCGTTAAGACTGAACTATTACATGCACACGAGTGAGAATTGTGTCCCCCTTTTGTTTTCCTCAGCAATGTTGGAGCAAAAAGGAGGAAGATTAAATAAGTACAAACTTACACCACAAGAGAAGCAAGAGAGGCTTTCCGCAGTGAAGAATGTTCTTATAATCAGACCTGAGATGCCAGACATCAACAGACCGGAGTTTGAGGACACAGTCTACAGTAGGAGCTTGTTGCCCCCAATCAACCTGAAAGGGATACCCAAAGGAGTCTTCAAACGTGTAAGAAAGTACACACACACCACACACCAAACACAAACACACGCGCGCGCGCGCGCACTCATACACACATATTTGTATATAAACATATATATTTTTTTGTATATTGGTATATTGTTCATGATCATCGTTATACAATATTTTTCTTCTTCTTCGTCTTTTTCTTTTTGTTTTGCTTTGACTTCACTTGCTGCTGGTGAACGGTCAAGACATTCGACTGTCATGCGGGTAACCAGGTGTTCAAAATCTCAGTAAAGCTGTGGGTTGTTTTCGGCTAGGGGTAAAAATAAAATTCTCTCCTTCACAGTCCGTGGCGACAGCACTAGCCATACGGCCCTAAATGCTCCGACTCAAGCATGCTTTCAGAGTCTGTTACAGCTACGAAATGTTTATGCACATTGTTCTCAAGCCACCGGAAAGCTGTAGTGACCGGATCCACCTCCATTCTCATGCTAAATGTTGTGGTATCATATGCTAGGCTGTCCTGAACTGAAGAATTTCCACTGTATTTTGCTTCGAAACCCCAGGCATTTCTCTTCCCTCTCAAATCAGAGCCAACTGTATAGATAATCAGATAATCTAGGCGAGAATTGTCGTACATCAAATGTTGTACTTCCACCTCTGTAGCACCCGCTGGTCACTCTCTGAACTTCCGGCCCAATGTGATCATGACCCTACACAGGTCAGACTTTTACTCTGGTACTTTGACCCACTCCTCTCCTCGCCCAATGTTCTCCAGCATGCATACCTGTCTTGTTCTGTCTTCTATTTGAGCCATCCACGATTTTACCCCTTTCAGCTACTGGCCCATACCTGCAGCCAAAGCTTCCTACAGTGGGTGTTAGTGTTAGTGCCTCTTTAGTGATTCTCTGCTCGTTTCTTATCGTGATGTGCCCAAGATGGCGAAATCTTCTTTGTCTTATTATTGTTGCCAGCAGTGATTGCCCAGACAGTTTTATCATTTCTTTCCCTTTCTTGATTGCATCCCACTTTGTATTCAACATTTTCCCCAGGCTTTTTTTTTCTCGAATGTTTTTAACGTTCGTTCCACGTTTTTTATTGATTCCCTAACTTTCACATGTTAAAACAATAATAGCTTTGGTTTTTACTTGGTTTATCATACAGTTTAGAATTCAATATTTTGTTCAGGCTTTTGAATGCTTCCGAAACCTTGCCAATGCATGCTATAATGTCCTTCTTTGTGTTGACCTGACTGCCACAATTGCTACGTAAATAGATCTTTGCAACTTCCCACATGGTTTCTCACCTATTTTATGACTATCTATACATTAAGATCAGCTCTATATTGTTCTAAAAAAATTTTTTTTGACCTCAAGAAAAAATATACAGGTCTGTAAACAATTATTGACATGATATTGCACAATATTGATTTACAACTTTACTCTTACGAGAGTACACTCACATAAGCAGCTTCAATCCTTACAGGGGCGCCCGACCTTTTAGTTTTGGTTCATTAATGCAACCCTCCTCCCGCCGTCCACCCATTATATTTTCATGGGCGCCAAGTACCAACCAGCCCAACCATGGAGAGGCGTCATCATGTTGAGTGTTTGTTTGGACATTTCTTTTATTTTCACTCAGCTGTTTTATTATAACTATTTGCCATTCAGCACATAATAATAATAATATTATTAACGATAGTGAGTATTAATACTGCGCATTTAAATAGGCCTTAAGCCCACGCCCTCTAGAAAATTATAGGTAGTTATGCTAGTTTTGCCCTTTCCCTCCTTTCCGCCAGTAATTTCTTTATTACAGCTCCCCTGAATCATTATTGATTGATGTACATTTTGCAGCCAGATATACCCACCCAGGCCTACCACTTGTACGATGCCACAATGTTCTATGGACGAGCCGTCATGGCACTGATGGCCATCCCTGGGGCAGATCCCGAAAATGCAACGCACATTATATACTACCTTCGTTGTAACTACCACGACAGTAAGTAGACATATCTTTTTCTACTTCTTCATGCTTTTGTAATTGTTGCTTTACTTTCATATAAGGCCTACTTTAGATACTAATTGTACTTTCTTTACCTACTTTCTATCTGAAAGGGGCTGCGTGGTCTCGAATAACGGTGTCCGCCTCGAGGGCTAGAGGTTCCGGGTTCAATCCTTGGTAAGGACTGGGATTTTTTCACGTGGACTTGAACTTCTAGTAATTCTTCCTGGTCTCTGGGTAGTGAGATCGGACGCCCGTGTGCATTTGTCGTACACGTAGAAAATCCCTTGGCAGTAAGAAATCGAAATAAGTAGCCTAACGGCTTTGCCAAGGCAAAATTTGGAGATAAAAATCTACCCAAAGTATTTAAAGATTCTCGCCCGTGTTACAGAGCACGTGCTCTGTGCTGAGCTTCTTCGAACTCAGATTTGAATGAGAAGAAGAACGGAGCATTTATGGGTTACTACCCGTGTTCTCTGATGTTGATTTGTTGTTCAAACCTCAAACCTTTCTATCTAAGGACGCCGTGCCTTTATACTATAAGGTTTAATAAGTTAACATAATTAGCTTGATATATAAAATACAGATGCTGTGTGAAAGGTAAGCGTGTCCAATTTGTAACCTTTTGGAAATATGGTTCGTTCGTTCGTTCGTTCTTTCATTTGTTATTCTTACCGTTAACCGGCTGTAACACCCGAAGAAAAGTTCCTGTATGTTCGCTCACTTCTGGACTTTGGTCGAGGACTGAAGCGTTGCATGCACATCAGTTGAACAAATCTGGCTTTTTTGTGTGCAGACTATTTGTTTCATGCATTCCAGGCAGATCTGCCGGACTTCGAAGAATAACGCGATCCTTTCTACGCTGGCCCAGCTCCCAAGTGGGGAACCTTGTTCTGGATGACCGGGAAGAAGATTGGTCTAGGCCCGTAGAAGCCCTGGCGCTTGTCAGCCACCATGTGCGGTTCAGCCCCCCGAAAAAGGACCGACTTCGTTGCACCAGCCGCCTGCCAAGACCATTGCACAAAGCACGAACACCGTAGCTCCGGTTACAACCCCAGCGATCTCCGTAAGAACTGCACACATGAACTGAACCATGCAGGCAGAACCTACAGAATGCGAGGCAAGCGGCTTGACCACTTCGTCATGGTGACAACCCGTGTGTTTATGGTGTAATTGTAAGATGCGGAATGATAGTAAAGTAAGGAATGTAAAGGATCCTTTTCCGTGCCCTCATGGGTATTGGACATATAGACATCATCATCATGTAGCAGGTCCTTTGCAGAACGTCGCTCTCATCACCGTGTGCCTGAAAGAAACTCGGTCTCTCGCCAGCTCTCCCGCCTCATTAACTTTTACACTCAAGGAGTCACTTATATCATGTGCCTATCTTCGTGTCGGTCGGCCCCTGCCCCTCCTTCTTGGTACCATGCGTTCTGCTATAATTTTTTCCAATCCGTCGTGGCGCTTGATATGACCAAAATATTTCAGCTTTCGAGAAAGGATGGTGTTTATTAGCCAAACTTCCTTGATGTTCAGATCTTTTAAGATGTCAATATTTCTCATCTTCTTTGTCCAAGATATTCTGAGAATCTTTCTATAGCATTTCAGCTCAAAAGCCCCTATTCTCTTTCTCAAGGACTGAGAGATAGTCCACGACTCACATCCGTATGTAGCCACAGGGAAGATGCATGCTCTCAAATTCTGATCTCCTGGCTGGTACATATAGGGATAAACCTCTAAAATAGCCCAACCGGGCGCTTGGTGGGGGATGTGATCAACATCACGCTGACGGCCTTCACATCCTAGGGGATTAACAAATGAGTATTGCGTGGGTATATTCTGATTCACAACAGTTGGTTGTAAACAACAAACAATTCGAGAGTCATCGATAAATTATTGAGATGCTGGATAATTTGTTTCTTTATCTGTGCATCACTGACACGTGAATATATACATGTGTGCGTGTGTGTGTGTGTGTGTGTGTGTGTGTGTGTGTGGGTGTGTTGATAGGGGAAGGGGGGTGGGACGCACAGACGGTTTGACGTTAATGCTGAAAAAAGGCTTCGTGGCTTTTCTCTGTAAAGAATAAATACGACTGAAGAAATCGTTAGATAACTCCACAGATTTGAACTAAGCACATTTGCTAAATTTAGGATGCTAACAGTCGATTCAGAAATAAAACAAACACCACAATTTGGGAAGTAGACCATGATTCCGATGTAATGTAATTGAATTTACAAATAAATTTGGTAGACATTGCACGATTGCGCTACAATCTAACATAATAATTTAATTACATTTATTATGTTCAGTATGGTATTAACATATTATATTTAAAAATCAATGCCTGAAAGCGGAGTCAGTATTTACTTTACGCGGAGTAGCATCACAAACAAGTTAGCAAGGATTACACAGAAGTGGTAAATAGAAACTGGGTTCTTGCGCTTAGACTGGCTTGCATCGCTTGATAAGACTCATATTAGAAGTAAATCGTGAATTTGTTCCTCAGGGTTTTCAGGTGTGCACAGGAAAAGAGTGGGCTGACATTTTAGCTGCTGTCGTTTCCCTGGGCGATCAACTACTTTGTGATAAAGCGGGCGGGATGAAGTCTCTCTGGGATCAAGTGAACAGTAGAGCAGAACAGACAGAGCATCCATATCTGGAGAGAATAATTCAGCAGAGAGTCAGCAAAGTGATGTTTTTACCCGGCGGAAAACCGGCTAACTTTTGATCAGGTGGCAACTAGCATAAAGACTTCCAGCTTATAAATGACGGCGCTAAAAGGGTTTTGCGGCCACACGCCATCTTATTATTAAAAATGTACACTTTATCGGAATCTTTATAATGTAGTCGTACAAACCACGCTCCCATTGAAAATCTGGGAGTTCGCGAATAAGATCACAGTATACCCTAGCTAAATAAGGTGCTGAAGTCAGAGGCAACTAGCCAGGAGGCCCACCACAGCAGTCAGGATGCTACGCAAAAATGCAATATGGAATATTTCTGTATCTGCAAACAAGTATGATTCTCATCATGTGATTACAAAAGACAGTGAAGTTCACATTAGTGACAGCCTCGCAGATATAGATTATTTATTTCAAGCGAACGAAAGAAGAAGAAGAAGAATGGCAACTCTTTGATGGCTTCTGGGCAATAGGACAGATCACTCACGCGTGATAGCGTCCGAGGGCAGTGATACCAGTTCATGACTGATTCATACATTGTAGGCATTAAACATTTTGTTGTTTGAGAAGGCTAGTTAAGTTCACCATTGTATGCTATGTAATGTCGGTACAATGGGCGTCTTTGTCAGCTGCGAATTCCAGTTTGTGCTCAGTTTTCCTGCGCAGGAATCACGCCGGGAGCTGAGCCTTTTCATGAGAAGTAGTTTATTTATCATTCTGTAAAGTAGTAAATCTATTATCTTTCAGCTTCACAAGGTCAATAATTAATTATTTATCGCGGTATGTAAAATAATGTGCACATGTAAAATGTGATTCCCCCGTACATGCAACCACATATTTTACTGCAGCACATGCTTTACGATAGGGCGGGCCTTGTGAAGACTCTGGGATTAAGTGAACGGTGCAACAGAAAAGATGTGGTATCAATATCTGGTGACAATGATTCACTTAGGTGTTAGATGTCGGTAGAGTAAAATGTGAATCATCAGCACGTGCCTTGCCGACTGGCGTGCTCGATCATGTCTTTCCACAATCTGCGATCCGCAACTGTGAATTAGTTCGTGTGTTGACACCCCTTTGTTCCATGACGGAAGACTGTCAAACATCTTCTCACGCTGTCTTTATCTGTCTCTCCTTCCACAAATCTTTCCAGTGGTCCCAACACTTTATATTTTCCCTCTGCTCATTACAGGACCCCCTCACCCCCCCCCCAAAAAAAAAAAAAAAACTATGATGACTGTCTCTTTCTGATGTTTATGATAAGTTGACTTCGAGCACTCACCTCTTTCTAAACATCTGGGTTGCTCTTCTTTGCTGTCCAAATGTGAATACAATCGTTGTGTGCTTTCCCAGTATTAAATGTAACTAATACTGCTCAGACGATTTAAACATGGTTGTAACAAGTTTGGACCATATGTTGGATAATAATCGACTTTCCCGTCGACAAATCGATTGCAAAAATGTAATTGATCATCTTGTCAACCAAGTTTGCTCTTCTCTTTCCTTCTTTTGCATTATTAATCCATGTCTGTTTATCCGAATCACTCCAAAGCCTTGTTATCAGTGTTCTTCTGGAGTCCAACATTCTGTTTGTTCTAACAGGTGGACTTAACTTAATTTGTTATCTAGACAGCGCAATCACGTTCTGTTTAAATCAAACTCTTGCTTTGTTTAAATCAAGCACGCACACGCACGCACACACCCGCACACACGGAGGCGCGCGCGCACACACACAAAGCAATGTGTTAGTAAAATCACTAACTTCTAGAATGTAACTAGTTACTTCATTGGGAGAAGGCACAACAGTTATGTAAGGAAAACGTCTCGGCTGTTCACTTGGCTGTGGCCCTTGTCATGACTGGGGAGTGATCAACACAGCATAACAAATTGGACTAAGAAGCTCATCGAAGGGTATGAAAAAGAAGTGCACAAATACAACCGAAATGTTGCTACCAAAATCTTTAACAACGGATTACTAGGTACAACACAAAATGTGACGAAATGTTACAGTCAACAGACAAATCTTAGAATAAAAAGTAGCAGTATCAGAATAAAGTATTTATGCTTCTCAATTAACAGCTTTCCATGGAAATAAGAAATGCAAACGAGAATGTGAAATGTGTGTCTGCAGTTGGTAACCTTACATAGAATTTGAGATCGGGGAAAAAGCAGACAATTGGAATCATAATCTAGTCATCTCCTTGTGAGATGCAATTTTTTCGTTATTTGAAGCCCTACTCTGGTTCTTGCCAGGGGCCGCAATATAGCCCTGCCATAAATACGGTCTAAGGGCTAAACGCGGTTTCTCAATGGCAGC